CATGCCAAGCTTTCACATAACAATGGTACAAGAGCACATTCCAAAAAAGTCTTGCTTTTACATAATCGAATCTCATCTTCCCTTTTCTTCTAAAAGAGTATCATTTGGATTCAACTTTCTCACTGTTCTAGTGATATGGCTTTCACTCATATAGCATCTTGAAAAAGATTCTGATCTTTTATGTCTGATACTATAATCAATATAGAACCCTGTTTTTTCTAAAAACACAGTTCAATAACAAAGATGACCTAGCCTTCTTCCTTTAGAACATACTATCCCATCCAAAACAAATTCCATCAAATCCACGGGTGAACAAACCACCTACTCTACAGCAACTTCAAGTTTCAGTACTTTGCTCTTACATGCTTAAGAAAAATTGTTTTCATGTTCTGTAGTACCCTTGGTAACATGAAAGCTACTAAAATTTCTAAAAAGGAGATCAAATCAATAAAGTTAGGTTGAAAAGTTGTTTTGTGCAAAGGAATGTAGAATAATTTATTTTAGAGCAGACTAGATGAAACAGATGATAAAAACAGACTTTAAAAAATCTATAATTCTAAATTGAACCAGACATATACATCTGATCTGCCCAACTTCCTAACAAACTGAAACTAAAGTCAACAGCAATCATTCTACCTCTGTATTTGAATGACTGTAGCATGTGCCTGTTACTAATTAATTCAGAATATCTCTAGTATGCAAAGTACTATTGGTGTTATGGAGATGAGTACAGCTAATTATTTGCTACTTGCACAACACCAAGAAAAGCCAGTGCAACCAAGTTCACTTGGCTCACGTGGGGAGTGAAGGAGGCTTAGATAACCAGGCCTAGCTACACTTCCCAGTAGACTGACACTCGTGAGAAAGGCTAGAGTTAACAGAGAACACTGTAAATTTCCTCCTAGACAAAGAGATAACAATTCTGGGGTTTTCTAAAGTACGAGTTTGATACCAATTATCTCTTTCTCTTTTAATCAATCTCTCTCTCTAATGATTTTTATTGATTAAACTTGATCAGCCTGCAACCATGACCAATATTGTCTATCTTGAAAAATATGCCCCTTGGATCTTGAGGGTCCCTTCTAGTTCCGGACTTTCTTCTCCCCCTCACAGCCAAGTTTCTTGAAAGGACGGTCTTCAACTGTTGCTCCAATCCTTCAATAGCACTTTCTGCATGCCTGACACTGTTCTCAGTGATCTATGTTAACTCATTTAATCTTCACATAAACCTATCGAATAAGTACCTTTATTATTCCCATTTAATAGTTTGTTTTGTTTGTTTTTAACCTTGCCTTAGGGAGCTGAGAAGAACAGAGCAATGTCAGTGGTTTGAGTATGGGAAACAAGAACTAGGATAAAAAAATAAAAGGAGTAACTTCCTGCTGGCCAGGGACCACTGGTGACAAGAGAAAGTAGATGAGCCAATGAGTAGGCCAATGTCTAGCGATCCCGCCTTATGTGTAAGTAAGCCATAGGAGGAAGCAGCTATCTTGGCTATGGGCACCTTAGGGGTGAGTGGAAAGACAGAAAAGCTCCTGCTTCCCATGGGAAGAGGCAGGCCCCACCTGTGATGGCTCATGTGCAGGAAAACACTCTGAAAAAATTGAGGTCCTGTCAAACGCCAGTGCTACGTGGGACACTTCCCATTGGTTTGAATGACACTTAGAGATATAATTCGATGCCTTAGTTTCCCCCCAAAAGAAGGTTTTGAAATAGCCAAGTTGTTCTGAGAGCTTTGATATCCATCACCATCTGCATCTACCACAAAGGATGACATTCAGACTGTCAGGGGCTAGGAGGCTGGTGGCTCTGCTTCATTCGTTATCCACTGCATCCTAATAAACGCGCTTTCACAAAGCCTGCTGTCAAAAGTGTTTAATTTACCAGGTGAATATAACACAGAGATGATAGTAAGCTCTTGCCTATCCCATTATTCCTCTAATACGGGGTCATCAGAATCTCTCTCTTTCTATACCCTATTTATTGCACTCATGCTTCCACTAACCACACTCTTGCCAAAGTCACCAGTGACTTCCCTATTCCCAATTCAGTGGACAGTTTTTATTCCTCATGTCCTGGAACATAGCTGACCACTCATTTCTTCATATAACTCTATTCCCTTGACTTATGACACCACTTTTTCCGGTTCTCCCTTATTCCTCCGACCAGTCCCTCCAGGTCTCCTTTGTAGATTCATCCTCCTCCCCTGATTATCTCTTAGACAGCCAAGTTTTTTGCAGGTTCCGTCCTTGATCCACCACCTTTGTGTCCCCAAGTGCCCTCCCTGGGTGACTGCATGTACTATCTGCATTTGAATTACCATCTGTAAACTGTTGTCTCTCAAACTTAGTCTCCCCAGCCCCGGTCTCATTCTTTTGGTTGTTCCACAGGCTTGTCAGATGAAACTGAACTCATCATCTACCTCACCAAAACTGCCCCACCCCACTCTTCATATTCTATATGTAAGTGCATAATACAACCATTAATTAATTGCTCAAACCAGAAACCTGAGCGGTATCCTAGACTCCTTCTTCCTCACCCATCTCCCCATGTCAGTGACCGTGTTCTGATGATTTTAACTCTTGTATATATTTTTTTCCTCTTTCCTTCCTCTCTCTCCCCACTATCATTGCCTGGTGCAGCCAGCTCTCACCTCTTGCCTGGTCTCTATCCCTCTAGTCTCACCCAGAGTGACCATATTAAGAGCAAGCCTAATCATGCATCAACCCTGCTCAAAATGTTTCGCTGGCTCTCAGCAAGAACAGAAAAAAGGTCAAGCTTCTTAGCATGGCCTAAGGGAGCCTCCGTGATACAGTTCTATCTTTTCATGCCTCGCCTCCTTCTACCTTGAATTTTCTCTCTAGTAACGCTCTAGTTGTCATGGGTTAACTATCTGATTACTTTAGCAAAAAGCACCTAACATATATTTTAGTAATGAGACCATCTTTATCTGTTTATTTTTTTGAATTCTTACAAGAGATTATTTAAGCCAAACTGAAAACATATGCCAGGGAGCAAGATCTCAAATGTTCCCTAGACCATCTTTACAAAAGGAGACTCACTCTTCTTAGCACAGTGAATAAATGATAAAGTCTTCATTTCCTTAAAAATAACTTGGTAATGAGCATTGTCTTTAAAGGTCAGCAACGAGTAGAAACCTTTGAAAAACTCTTTACCAACACAGAGGTTGTCTGTGGGGTGCTCCCAGGACTGTGATGATGCCACATGGGCAGGATAATAAAGCCCACAGGTGTTAGTCACCCCTGCCTCTGCCTTTCCTCTTGCCTCTGGCCTTTGCATGCACTCTTCCTCATCCTCCTCTTTTCACTTTCTTATCCTGAACCCTCTGTCTTCTCCTTTCCTTCCTCTTTTTCCTGTGTCTGCCTTGGAGCCACTGGGAGGGGGTTGGATTTTCTGTGAGCCTCCTTGTCCTCCTGTCAGTGGTGAGAGAGATGGGCTGGGGCTGGATTGCTCTATTTCCTCCCCTCACCCACTTTGCTCTCCACCACAGGTAACCTCCGCTGGGGCTGCAGGAGATGGAGTCAGACAGGAAGTGATGGGCCAGGTGGACCTCCTTTGCCTGCCCCATGAGGCCGTAAAGAGCCCTCTGGAATTATCTGCCAGAGAAAAAGGAAACTTTGGCTCATCAAACACAGTGTTACTGTGGAAAAGCTTGGAAACAGGAATAGAACCTTATTGCTTCCATGCACATCCTCTGTGATCTTTAGCAAGGTTCTTCGCTATTTAGAGTTTCAGTTTCCTCCGCTGTTGAGATTATATGCAGCTCATATGAAATAACAGACAAGAAAGTGCTTAGTAAACTGTGAAGCACCAGATCTATATATGGCATTGTCATTCCTTTGTTCGTCTATTATCACTGAGGGCACACTTACTAGAACTGCCTGGTCCCTGTCACCCTTCTTTTACATCTCCTCCCCTGGAGATCCTCTGATTTAAAGAGGTCTCAGGTGTCAGCAGTTATATTCTGAATGGCTGGCCCCTTCCTTCTCCGGCCACTGGGTTTATTGGAAAAGATATCTAGTGTCACCAGGACCGAACTATAATAAAAGGTGAAAATAAGGAGCATTCCTTCACTTATCACAGTCATATAATTAAAGTTCCTATAAGTAGATTTACTGACCATCAAACTTGCTACTTTCCTTTATCAGGTTTTTAATGGTATCTTCATGTTGTAATCGAACTTTTATTCCCTCAGAAGCCAGATTAAGTTCCACATGATCTCATAGAAGTGTGACTGGTTTTAAATGAACCCAGAGAAAGAAAAAAACATTTATCTTTCATTGTCTTCTTAAATTATAAAAGCACACATGAGTATTGCAAAAACAAATGATGTGCTACATTGTTTTCTAACTCAAATAAATAAAATATTTATGGTAAATTTTTTTGAGTAAATTTTTTTCTTAAAATATTTTTTAAACTAAAAAAATCAAGACAGACAATTCTTTCTGCATAGAATAAAATATGTCCTTTAGAAAATTTTCCAACTATTAATTTTCTCTGATTTTTAAAATTTTCAAAAGAACTACAAAATAAAATTTTCTTCAAATTAATGAATGCAGAGATAGATTTTGATGCCACTGAATTCTTATCAAGAAATATTTTCTACCTTTTGCAAAATTAAAACACTAAAGAAAGGGAATAAACTTGTTCTAGAGAAAGCCAGCAAGTACTAAGAGATAGTCCCAATTTGAAACTTTCATCACATGGTGAAAACATCTAATAAGCGAACAGAAAGAATTAACGTGTCAGAATTAAGCTTTTTTTTTTTTTTTTTGGAGTCTGCCACTTTGTTTTATTAACCTAGATATGATTTTTGCTTGTTTATTTTTTTATTTTCTTATTATTTTTTCAAATTTTATTTTATTAGTTTCAAGTATGCAGTACATTGCTCAGACATTTATATAGTTTATAAAATGATCCCCTAATTGCTCTTTCTCTCCTCTGGCTCTCTACCTAGCCATTACATTAATGCTGACTGCATTCCCTATCCTGTGACCATCTATCAACTACTAATTTGTACTTCTTTAACCCATCACCCCATTTTCCCAGCCCTCCAACAACCCTCCCCGCTGGCCACCACCAGATTGTCCTCTATATTTGTGAGTCTGCTTTTGATTAGTTTGTTCTTTTTGTTGCACTTCTGGGTATTTACCCAAAGAAAACCAAAACAATAATTTGTAAAGATCTATGCACCCCTATGTTCATGGCAGCACATTCACAATAGCCAAAATATGGAAGCAACCTAAATGTCCATCAACAAACAGTTGGATAAAGAAATTATGGTTCATATATACAATGGAATATTACTCAGCCATTAAAAAAAAAATGAAATCCTACCATTTGCAATGACATGGATGGACCTAGAGGTTATTACGCTGAGTGAAATAAGTCAGACAGAGAAAGATAAATACAATGCGATTTTACTTATATGTGGAATCTAAGGAACAAAATGAACAAACAGAATCAGAATTAGAATTAAGCTTTAACTGACCTCCAGAAATCTGGAAATATGATGCAATAGAACCAAGGGCTCAAGCTCCTTCAGAAACACCTATCTGTTAACCTGTGCGGATAAGGAAGAGACACCTTGTAGCTGGACTGGAGTAGTTCCATGCTTTTTTCCAGGACACCTAAAGACTGGTGCTAACCCTTGGCCAAGATAAGGATGAAATAGCGAATGCTTTATAATATGCTGCTTCAAGTCTATAATGCCCCTGGTCCGCTGTGTCTAATTTGTTTAGAAATGTATAGACTGATAGCTTGCACTGGTTTATCTGCTTACACATTCTTGTTTTAGTTGCGTGACCAACGGGATAGAAAGACCACCTGGTAAACTAATGCTTTGGCTCTCCAATCCACAGATAAATTATATTTTATATGACTGAAAAGTACCTGAGAGTGATGCCTGGAAGTCTTAAACCTCCCTGATGTTTGCTTGTGCTTTTTTCTCCATTAATGGACATCTGGTCTGTCCAAAACACCCATGGAGACATCTGGTCCATGCCAAAAGGTCTTTGATATTTGGTCCTGTCCAAAACATCTGGGTTCAAAGAGTCTATAATTTAGACTTTTGATTTATAGGGTTACTACATTAAAAATACTATCATGTTTTATTGATCCAATAATTGTGTCATAGTAGAATTGCCAATAATAACCCTCTTGCCTCAGTACCTGGCTGGTCATGGCACATGTGAAGGACCAAATATCAAGGACCTTTTGGCACGGACCAAATGTTTCAGTGGACATTTTGGAAAGGACCGAACGTCCTGCAAGATGTTTTTCCAGCTGTACTATTCCCTTTAGCTTGATCAGGCTTTGCAGAAGCATACTCTATGGAGTCTTGTGAGTCCTTCAATGATCTGGCCTGTGCAACGACTGAACTAAGCCTAGTTAATCATTGTTCATCTTGTCCTGGAACAAATTCACTTTGGACCGAGATTCAGGTAGGCCTGTTGCTTCAAACCAACCATGGATATTTTGTGGCTCTCTTCATGATGTGTTGAACAAGTATGTTCAGCTGTATGAACTTGTTCAACTGAATAAGAATGTTACCAACTGGAAAATAAATTAGTCTGGGAAACGTGCTTTACAATAAAGGTTACCTAAGCCAAGCAATTAAAGCAGCACCATAAGGCCCCTGGCTTCCTAGAAGTGCTTTCAGGAAAACATTCTTCAGTCTCAGCAGAGACCAAAGTGTGACTATGATATTCTTACAGGAGTGAGAAGTCTAATGCTAGAGGGGGAAAATGATGGCCCTCATTTTCCCCTTTAAGTGAAGGAACAGAAGGGTGAGGTGGACTCCTTTCTGTCACTTGCTCTCAGATGTGGAAACTCTGTATCCACCTCCACATTTTCTCATTCCCAAGAGTTTGGAGATTTCTGAGGCCTCCAGGAAAAACAGAATAGTTGACAAACCTCTCAACATCTTAAATTTCAGTGAACATAGGATCCCTGGGATGCTTTGTCAGAGTACAGAGTCCAAGTTCTTATACTAGCGATTCTAATATAGTAAGTCTGGGATGCAGTCCAGAAAACAGCATTTTAAATAATAAAATAGTTTATGTGAATTTCAGTTTGAAAACCAATACCTTTAGGCAATGTAATTTGCCCGCGGCCTGTTTAATCTTGGGCAGGAAGTGGGAGAAGCGTCCCAGTGTACAAAACTCTGCAGGGACACCTGCCACCAGACACCATGGTCGGTGAACTTAGCCCATTTCTGTGTCTCCTTGCCCAAGTGAGGCATAGCTGGTGAGTCTGGCACTGTTTTCACCTCTGTTGGATCCGGTGAACACATTGCTTTGTCCTGCCTCCAAAGTTTGAGGCCGTCTAAGGAAGAACATTTTGGCAGAGTGAGAAGCAATTCTTGTTGCTTCAAAGCGGAGCTAGGAGAAGTCACTGTGCCCATCTCTGGAGCAATCTTTCCAGCGAAAGATTTAAATCCTAAATTGAATTATTACACTAAAAATTACTTAGACTAAATGGGGACCCTCTCTCAGGCAACCTGACCCTAAAAAGGAAAGCCAAGAAATTATAATAAATAAATCTCCAGAAGACTACAAAGAAGCTGCCCTGGGCCAATGGCCAGGCAAGCCCACAGGGCATGCACATCAAGCCAACATATTTCTTTTAAGGGTGTTTTTACCTTATATGCCCTGAAGCTCATTGTCAAACTTCAATAACTCAGCGACTTTGACATTCTTATTCAGGTATAAAATAATACTTGAAACATAACATGAAACTGTTTAATTGCTCTTGCTTTTAAAAAATTAACTCAATTTGGAGTTATAGAACCATGAAAGAACTAACTCAGTAAGCAATATATTTTTCAAAAGTGATATGACCTTTGGATCACTTAAAACACTATTTTTTCCTCTTTCACAAACTGGCTACGTCTCCTTTTCTCTAAAATACTTAATGCTATGATATTACCAGAGTTGTAACTTTATGACAAATATTGGTGAAAAACAAATCTTGGGAAAGCATAACTCATGGTAAGATGAATGTCCTTTTTTCAATAATAATTCTGATGCAATTATTAATATGTCCTTGAATTACATGCTAGATACCTTGTCACACAGAAAATTTACCTTTTCTTCTCCAACAGGTTTGGCTACAAATGTAGAGAAGGCCACACTAACAAGTTTCTCAATGCCAGTGAATATGTCTTGTACTATGACTTTGATGCTGATCTAAAATGAAAAGAAAATAAACTTTCAGCCTCAGATAACATAAGATTATAGCATTCAAAATTCAGTTATGCACTTCACCATTCTTTTCTTTGTGTTGTGAATGAAACTAGCATTTTAAATTTATTTTAAAGTAATACTGTTAATACTGTTCTTTTAATAATGTTCTATAAAATTGGAAAAATAACTTCTGATTATAAAAAATATGTACTTAGGATGGAAAAGTTGGTAAATATAAACATAAATAATAAAAATAGAATCTAACTATGCAGAGTATATATTATCAATTATCAGTAATCCCACCACCCAGATTAATAATTACTAACATTTAGTGAATTTTTTCCAGTTATGTATATGATATCATATATATAAATATGAAATCTATATTATTTATTCCTATATAAAATATGAAACATGTACGTGTGTACATGAACATAAAATTGTACTGTATTTACAGCTTTATAATTTTTTTAAAATTTGGCATTATGTGATAAGCATTTTCTAATTTCATTATTAGTACCAAGAGGCAGAAGTAAGGAAAGGGGCCTTTTACCTCCATGCTTATGCTGAATGCTCTAGTAACTTTCATTTTGGTGGTTATAACTTGTCCAACTCTAGTAAAAAAAAAACAAAAAACTCAGTAATCCTAGAACACCTCATTTTATACTTGAAGATTTAGTTAAACACGTGTACAATAGTGCAGTTTCACCTTATCATGTTGATAACATTTGTGTGTGAAAAATCCAGGTTGATGATAACAGAAAAAGACGACACTAAAAACAGATGTCAATCGTTGTGAACCACACATATGTTAACTGACTACCTCTATTTAAACAGAAAAGAGCCTTGGCAAAGATTGTGTTAAAAATGACTTCCAAATCTGCAACAGATACTTTGACTATGGCGCAGCTGCTTCCTTAAGGAATGTTAAAACAAACACATAAGCAAACCTATACAACTGCTATTTATTTTTAAATGTTAGTTAACAAATAAATGAATAAACATACAAACAATCAAGCCCTAAAATTGATCAGCTTCACCAGATTTACACGGGCTCTCAACGCTGCTTGATGATCCATTACTGAGTCATGACCAGTCTGGCATTAAGCTAAGACCTGAGATTACAATGATGAACAAGACATGGTTGATGATATCTAGGAGTTTTCACTTGGGACACCAGCATGTCAACAAATGAAGTGCAACATTATAAAATTTTCTGAAAAGAAGGATCAAATATTGTAAAGGCACCCAGAAGAAATGACTAATTTGAAAAGTCAAGAAAGGGGTCACAGAAGAAGTGATATTTGACATGGGTCTTCAAGGATTAGAATTTTGCCAGGCATAGAAGTTTGGGGTTTCATCCCTCATTTGCTTCGCAGCCACTCCCATCTAGCTGTTGCCTCCACATTTTACTCTGATCTCTCAAGAGGCTTCCTCACAACCAAATCCAACATCTCATTCATTGAACAGCATCAACCTCTTTCTTCAGGAAACTTTCTCTCTTTGGTTTCCAAACTACTGTTCTCTCCTCATTCTGTTTCCTTCACTGATTTCTCTTCTTTAATCTATCCCTTAAATGCAGACATCTCCTAAATTTCTGCCCTTTGTCCTATTCTTTTCTCATTTTACCCTCTTTCTGGAAAACCTAGTTTTCTTTTTACTATTCTATCATCTTTAGAGAGATGACTCTCAAATCTACATCTTTAGCCTGGATCTCATTCTTGAAACTCAGAGGCACACTTTCAAACTTCTCTCAGCAGATTCAACTAATAGTTATGGAGGCTGTACTAGGCTCTGTTAGCTGCTTCTACATACATTACTTAATTTAACTTAATCCCCAAGTTTAGCACATGCAAGCCTAAACCAATTTTCTTTTCCCTTATATTTGTTCCTCCTAGACTTCTTAAGTCTGTTTAGTAAAGTTTCTAGCCGAGATTTACAATAACAACACTAGCCAGCGATAGTACTTTATACTCAGATACTACCAAAAGTTTTTGCTTCTCTGCCTGTCAGAGGAGGGGAAGCATCTGCTACTTTTCTTTGTCTCTTTGTGAACTCTGCCATGCCTTTAAAAGTAGGGGAATTCTCCACCAAACCAAACTCCAGACATCGAATTGTCAAATGAATGAAATGACCGATCCCAATTAAATAAAACCAATTTCACAGCATGACATTAAAGGCCTACTGTTACTCAACCTCAGTCTCCAGCAGGGGCATCATCACTCTGTAAACCAGGTTTTTCCTGAGCACTCTCTGCTCCTTCCCACCTTGGTGCTGAGGCTCTTACCTGTACCTTGTCTTGTGAAGTCCTTTTCCTATTCACCAGATGAAAATCTATATCTCATTTAAGGCCCACATTAAATGCTACCTCTATCATAAAACTATCATTGATTCTCCAGTCAAAATGTACATTTTAACTACCTCATAGAACTGAGTTTAATATCTCATCCTAAGCATGCATACTATCATACTTTCTATTCTGATGATTATGTATTTGTTTGACTTCTCATCAGACTGAGTGACTGCCACACTCTGCAAGTGTGCCATAATCATTCACATACCCTATTAAACCTAGAAGAGTGCCTTTTGTGTAAGCAATAAATATTTGTAAATTAAAAAATATCTAATAGGGTTTATAATCAAATTATATGGCTTTCTATATGTAACTCATTTTTTTCATGGTACAGGTTGCGTACAAAAAAATACAAGAAGTTCTCTTGATTTTAGTGCCCACAAATCCTTTGATAATACAAACAAAATGGTACAAAATGGCAAAACCAAATTTCAGTGAGGAGGGTACAAGTTTAATATACAGAATTTAGAATTGGAAAGTCCATAATAGATATTTTACTACAATGTACTGTCGGCATTTCCAAATTTAATAATTGTGTTTTAATCTATTCTCAAATAAGTTTGAATTTACAATTATTTGTGATTTTACTGAGATGCAAATACATGTCTTTTTTTTTTTTTTTTTTTACTTCAGGGAAAAAAATCACATAGCTAGTGTATGAACAGAGTCAACAGACTTTTGTTTGCATCTATAAGATTCTAGAATTTTAAGGACTTTTACAGAGACACTGCAATTACCTGTGAGAACGAGCATCAGGAGATGTTCAATAACAGTAGCTGATCACAAAGACAGAGTGATGGGTTGCAGAAAGCACTGGATTAAGCATAAAAAGGTCCAGTTTGTAAGTGTCCTCTGACCCAAGCTGGCTCTGGGCATTATGCCTCAGTTTCTCTTTGGTAAAAAGAGAAGACTGGGCTGAGCTCTAAAGGTTTCTCCATGTCTATGATTCTAAGTCCTGCCAAAAATTTCTTTGGTCAGGTTTGAAGTAATTTCTTTATGCATGTGGTTTTATTTAACTTAATTTTGTTTGTATATAAATAGATAAATGCCAAATAAATAAGTGTAAGCAGTTAAGATTGGAGAAATTAACTGGGCATTTATTTCAGTGGACAAGATTACTTAGGGTTTGAACACTGGTGGCAACTACCTCATGGTCCTCAAGTACCAGTCCAGGACAGAAACAGATGACTTTAAGTCTTCCTTTTTCTTGTAAGTTATGTTCATGTCTTTGAGAATTGAGATATACAGGGGAATAAAACCAAAGAGATACTAAATATTAAAATCAAAGACATTAAATAAAACCATATAATCTTAATTTATTAAAGGTTAACATAAACTCTTTAAAAAACTCATAATTCCTAATTCTGTCCACTGAAAAGGCTTAGAAATAATGACCAACTCTGGACCAATGAGCACCTTTCCTGCCCAGACTGTGATCTTTACTTACTATTTCTTTTGAAGAAATTTCTAAGTTTGTGTGAGGAAATGTAAAAGATGAGCTCATCTTGTCATACCAGAAAGCAAAGGAGTTATTGAAGATGTCTAACTTTGGGGTTATGCCCAAAGGACTTAGCAACTACACTAAAGAAGTTCCCCTTGTCCAGAGAGACGGGGCAGTTTTAAGCATCCATAAGAATAATCACATCAGAATTAAAATGTACCAAATACATAAAAATCCATGGGCTTATTATGATACTAAATAAAGGAAAAGAATTAAGCCTGTTTCCTGGACAAAGTTTACCTCAGGGTAACCGAGAAATTGGCTAAAAGGTCTACATAGTATTTTAGAAAATAAATGAAGAAGAAATACAGAATTAGCATATTACCATCTTATCTATATCTCATGAAATAATGATTCTAGGTAATGATCATTAGATATTATGCTCTTGAAAGGAAGTAGTTTTACCAAAATATCAAAACTTCATTAGATCAATTTTTAAATGTAATATCAACTTACAAGAAATACAAAGGACAAGTGAACATGCTAAATAGGGATACAATGAACAAATACATATGTGGTAAATTCTATAGGGCAAATGACCAGGTTTGTTTAAAAAATAAATTGTAAAAGAAAAGGAAGGGAAAATTATATGTTAAAAGACATTTCAATCACGCAGGATCCAGATTCAATAAAACAATTGTTTAAATGAAAAAATATTTTTTGAGACATTGGGAATGATAATTTCTGTTAACGGTATTGTGATTAAGTTATATGTTTTCTAAAAGAGCCCTTATCTTTTAGAAATATATGCTGAAATAGTCACAGATAATGCCTGGGATTAGCATGAAAATATTCCAGGTGTCTGTGGGAGTCTAGAGGGATATTGCTAAAACAAAAGTGTCCATGAGTTAATTGTTGTCATAGGTGATAGGTCCTTGGAGATACACAGTACCATTCTCTAGTATTCTGTGTATGTTTGAAATATTTGTGTATCTTGAAATTTTCTACAATAAGAGATGGTAAAGCACATGCATACTCCCATACATAAAAAGGTTTTAATAATTTAATCTCTCTCCTCAGACGAATTAATGTTTACCCAACAACCTAATGATGAAATTCACCATCACAGAGATACTTATTATTATTAATTATTCTTCTAATAGAGGAAGAAGCCATTAAGAATCAGCTTTAAGAAATCTTGCTATGCTTTATACATCTAAGAATGCATCTAATGCTCAGAGCTATTTCTCAACAAAATCAGGACTGAATTTACAGTTAACAATATTTACTAAAAGTAGGCCTTGGCAATTATTTTTATTACTGATTTATATTGGGTGAAATGTTATTTATTTTATTAATGAATTAGTTACGACTTTAAATGAATAAGCTTACATGTTGCAAATGAACCTATACACCTAGGAGAAAGGCATGATAGAGCAATGCCACTTACCTAGCTGTCTCCTCAAATTGTATGTCATCCACTGAGGCTGTAATACAGGAAACCCCAGTATGTTTTCAGCTTCAAAAAATAGATAAAAGTGTGCTGCATTACTAATGTTTAAATATTTTGATATAGGGGAGAAAGAATGAAACTTAAGTGGATTTATTTTAATAACTCCTCCTCTCATTCAATGTTAAGACCACTGTACTCACACTTCTGGATAATTTGAATCATAACAGTTCCTTGGCTCTATAAGTTATAGTTCTGCTGCATGGGAATTACTGTACTTTCTTCTAAGTTTTAATTTACATTAACCTTGATTTGAAATTCAATACCAATACCCAGCATATCTCATTATTCAAACAGCAATTTTAGTATGTTGATAACAACTTTAAATATTTTGTCAGGTACTGCCTTCCTTTTGCTTTACAAACAATGCATCAAAGCTGTATCCATTATCTCACATAACCAGTAGCTGAATGTTTTTAAACCAATTAGCCAATGTAAGCACTAAACAGTGTGAGACACCCTGAGATCACGAACACCAAATCAGAGAGGAACTTTACTGGACATCAGAGAAATAGAGATGAGCATATAGTAAGTATTTGGTCAATGTCTATTATTTATTATTACCAAATTCACCATGCATTAATTATGTTGGAGGGGGAAGAGTATTGATTGAGTATAGCAGAGAGAGAATAGGGAGGAGTTCCAGGTATTTCCATGTTCTATGTCTACATTTAATTTGTTGAGACATTTGTTTTGATTGTTGGTTTTACTTTATATAAAAATATCAGAATTTACTCTTTTGGGGAAACATTTTTATATGTGCTTCTGCCAGAAATTGATTTTGGGGAACGGCCAATTGATTTTGGGGAATCCCAAATAGATTTCATTGATTTTTTAAGAACTTTTAACTTCATTTTAATTTTTCAGACTTCACTCATGGTTCCACATTATGAAAAAGAGAGAAATAGTGAATTATACTGAATTTGTATTCTTTGTGTGTAGTGGGTTACTTTAGCTGCAACAGGTATTGATAGTCCCAGGTAAAGAGAAGTAAGAAAATATTCCAGAGAACATTTAAAACACTCCTATGATCTAATTCTGTAGAAAATTGGACATTCTGGCTTTATTAGTTGGAAGTAACTAACTATTCTTCCAAATATGCATGTATTATAAACTGAGTTACCAGAAAGCTAACCATAGCAGAACTCTGTGTGAATGGAGTGGAGGATGCCCTTCCCAGGGATAAAGTTAAGCGAGAGGAAGGGTATACAAAGGTATCAGATTCTAGAAATACTCAAAGTGGGCTCAATTTAATTTAGTATATTAGACATATGTTCTCACTGATTTCCAGAGATTGAGCTGAATCAGTCCTATCTTTTAACATTAACATCTTTTAACAAGTCTATTCAATGGTAGTTAGAGATCCAGACATAGTCAATGCCCTTATGGAGCTTAAGATTGCCAGAGAACTACTGGACCTTGCAGATACATCCTGTTAAACACTGACTAAAGGGTACCTAAACGGACATTCATTCCAGTTACCTGACACGAGGGAATGGACCATTGAGCTTATCAAATTACTCTTGTTAATAAAGTGTTAAACCATGTACACCAGCATGAGTTACCAATTTTAAGATTTAAATGATAACTAAATTGCAATAACCAATAAAAGACTAAGTTTTCATTGTATATATTGGGTATCATGCATATATAGCACTATACTAGATTGCATTTGGGATCAAGGAGAAACATAATCATAATAACAGTTACCATTTATTAAGCATTTATTATTGGCTAGGCGCTGAGCTAAGTATTTATGTATGTCCATTACATGAGGTTGGTACTATTATTAGTTCCATTTTTCAAATGAGGAAATTTAGTCTTAGATTAAATACATTGTTCTAAATAGTGATTTTGATTACGGAAGCAATAGGAACTCTCAGAGAAGGCCACTCAAGGAATGCTCTCTAAAGAAGTCCTTAACTACATATGGGCTTCAGAGGCTCGACAGCCACAGTTTGTATTGTAGATTTTCAAGGACCATTAAATTGAAAATAAAAAAATTAAAATATGGAGAACCAACATAGGGCCACAGTTTTTACATGTGATTATGCTTTTATTTTTACAAGTGTGTCTGATATGAATTCAATAGGACCAACTTGCCCTGGCTCTTAATTTTGATTGTTGTTCATACAGTATGCCGATAAAAGTGGATAAACCCTAAAGCTATTTCTGATTCCCTGGGAAAACCGAGAGAAGCTAAGGAATAGTAGCAGACTAGGTAAGTGATTGTGATCTTCCATTCATTCATTCCTTTAACTAACCTTGATTGAACAGCTGTGCTATACTAGCTTCTATGTAAGGTGTTGAAAATATAAAACAGCTACGATCCTCATTCTCATAGAGTCTAGTGGAGAAGCCAGGATTAAATGAATAAATAACAAAATGAATTAAATGCTCTAAAGAAAACATGGATTTTATAAGGGTAACTAAGGAACCAGACCTAGGTGGCTTGGACTAGATGGTGGCAGTGGAGGCACAACAAAATGGCTGGGTTTGAGAGATTTCTTTAGGGTAACATTGATAGGCCCTGGTCCATAGATTGAATCAGTGGAGGGGGAAGCGAGGTAGAGAGCAGTATCAAAGATGGAAGATTCCTGGATTTCTGACCTGTATAATAGGATGGACTGGGCACCATTCCTGAGAGAGCGAACCCTGGAAAAGATTCACAAATAGAGAGGGAAATGTGAATCTGAGATATTTTAAAATAAAAAATGGATACAGAGGATGAAGAATGACTCAGGAATGGCTTTAAGCCCTTAGGCTTAAGGAGCTAAAAGTACAATGGGGCTACTGAAAGAACGAGGTCTAATGCCAAAATGATAGTGAATGTATTTAATTTTTCTTTAAATATTGAGAAGACATTTTGGAATTTAGCAGTGCCTAGGGGTCATGGAAGTGCCTTGGGGCCATGACTGTGATCACTATATCATAGTGGCTGTAAAGAAGTGCTGGTCAATAAGGAACTTTGGTTGGCAAAATGCCAGACAAATCAGTTTTTGTATTATTCTTATTATATAAACTAAAACACTATGTTGGAGCATTTCTCTGTAGCAGATTTAGTAATACCTTGGCTAAATAATGTCCCTTTGCTTATGTGGTGCCTTTTCTTACTATGGAGTGTTTACTACAGGCATTATCCATTATTCCAAGCCAACTTCATCATAAAGGTTTAATATTGTATTACTAGTAATATAAGTATTTGGGTCCAGGGTAATTGGTTATCAATTGAATCATTGTATGGATTGAGTTTCCAAGATGTAAAACCATAGAAATTTTTATGACAATTGCAGGAGGGCAATTATTTCTCCATTACAGGAAAGAGGCACTAAGTGAGGTAACTGTAAAAGTCATTTCAATATTCATGTAATGTGTTCAACTGCCTTGGCAATAGGCATCATTATTATTAACGACCTCAGTGATTTCTATACTTGTTCTCCTACATGTGGATTAATTTTATATTTATGTTACCATTATCATGGTATAATAACCTACCTCAAATCCTCATAAAAAACTATTAAGACAGAAACCAAACAGACCTGTCAACAAACAGAAGACAAACAAACAGATTGGCATCAGATATATGACTGAATTTTGCAGGTGGTTAACACACAGGAGATTAGAAACTCTATCAATACTCATTGAGAAAAGCAGGGTTCTGTAATCATCTGAGCTTAACTTTTGTCCTCTGTAAGAGTCCTGGGATACATGATTTTTAAAGCTCCTTCCAGCTCTAACATTTTTATCTTAACATATTTTACTTTAAATGTACATTTGCAGAATCTATTAAGTGCCTTATGCAAAACCTAGCTTTTTAGAAATGAGATTTCAAGTTTTGGACCCATCCATCTACCCACCCATATTATCAGGAGGTTTTTATTTAGTGCTTACTAAACTTTAGTTTACATGCGAACCGGCCAGGCAAGAAATAAAGATGTGAACAAATTAATATACAGAGTAATTAGCGATTGTTGCTAAGTAGTATGAAGGAAGTTGAAAAGGGTATTGTGATGAAGGTGATGACGAAAGGCTGCAAATGTAAACAGGTGGTTGGAAAACATTTTTTGAGGAAACAATATTTAAGCTGAGTTGTGATGTACGGAAAAGGCCAAGAGAAAAGTATGACGGCTAAAAGCATGTGCAAATATCCTGAGAGGAGACTAAATAAGCGTGTGGTAGGCAACAAACTGAATGCAGAAGCAGGAGCAGTGAGTAAGCTTCTGTTAAACCAGATATTAAAGAGATTTGCAGAAATGTAAACCAATACCACTCCTCTAAGTACGTTTTTGTTATGTAGTGGGTTCATTCTTGTTCTTTTTAAATGAATTTAAAAAAAAAAATTAAGATGGTAAATAGGGATAAAAATAACCTACATAAACAGAAGCTCCCGGGATTCTCATTTATTTAATGGAGTAAAGGAACCTCCAAGATTAAAACGTTTGAGAACCACTGGTCTAGGTCATCCCCAGTGTTGGATGAACTAGCATAGGGCTCACAACTCTAAATATTCTCCTCTCCGGGTCCTGGAGTGGCGCGGGGTGGGGAGCCAGGCATCGACTTCTGCGCTGGGGCGCGTCATCCCGGACGCTCCCAAGTCCCGCCATCCCGGACGCTCCCAAGTCCCGCCATCCCGAACCCCCACCATTCCTCATCCCCACATCCCAGCCCACCTCCTAGTTCCCAGACACCCCTGCCATCCCGGACACCCTCTCCCTCCAGTCAGGACCCCACATTCCGGACCCCAGGCACCCGACCTACCCTATTCTGTACCCTCTTCGGGCCCCCCACAGTGCCCCTCCCCGGCCACCTTGGCCCGCCGCACCTTTACCCGTAAGGCAGGCGGTGGCGTCGATCCACGTGAGCAGCAGCCCAGCGCCCAGCCCGCCGCGGGAGTTGGCGCGCGCCGGCCGGACGGCCTGGCTCACCTGCGCCTCGCCGGGCGTCCGCCGCTCCGCGGCTGGGCTGTGAGAAGGCCGCCCGGCTCTAAAGGGTACCGGGGGCGCCGCGGTCCCGGCCGGGAATCTCGGCCAGGAATCCCGCCCCTGCCGGCCGCCCGGGCCCGCCGGGTGCACCTGGGGGTGAGATTCAGGTACCCTGAATATCGCGAGGAGAGCGGAGGCGCACTCTCCTCTGTTTCGGAAGTCAAATCTGGGGCAACCGAAAAGGGAGCATAGCAGTCCTCATCTAAGAGGGCTGTGCAGATATTAAAAGAGATAATGTATGAAACTCATAGCATGTCCCTGGCTAAGATGATGTAGATGTTTAGTAAGCAAATAGTGAAGGCTGAAGAACTTGACAGGTGATGGGGAATTAAGAACTGATTAGTTAAATGCTGTCCAGAGAATGGTGAACTTTTGCTTTAGAAAATGATTTTGGAGTATTTGACTATTTTTTTTTTCCTGACTGTTGACTGCCAGGTAGAGTGGGCACCTGCTCTTCAAGGCTTAGTTCAAAATCCACCTTCTGATTCTTGAGATATAATGGCTCCAAAGAACCCTCTGGTGTTGATCATTTTGTTATGAAGTTACCCCCACTGCAAACCGAACCAAAAAAAAAAAAAAAAGTGCTGATGTTTGCAGGCACATCAGAGTCATCCAACAAAGGAGGGGAACCTTTTAGTTTTATTCTAGAGAATTTAAGATTAGAAACTGTCACCTCATTACTAATGAGCCCAGCAAATCCCAAGGGAATCTCTTTTTTATAGGAGACAAAAATCTAGAACATTAAACGAGAGTTTTCATTCTCGGCCTTTAACACATAAAAGCTGCTACACTTTCTAGAGCTGAAATCAGTGACTTTACGAAGCAGTTCTCATGAAGGAAAGGGTGATATCAGAAAACCTCGGGCATATAATAGATTCACAGATGTTGTATTGTTAGGGCTAGCTGCACCTGGGAGAGCATTTATGGGTGAAGAAATGGAAGCCTGGAGAGCCCAAGCACAGTGTCAGGCATGCAGCTGACTTAATATGGAGCAGCTAAGGTAGTAGAGCACCTGGCTTACCTCAGCAGCAAAGCAGCAACCACAAAACCTAACTGACTACAACAAATTGGTGATGCTTTTTCACCCCTGTGCAGATGGCTTTGATGCATCAGAATGGAGATTCTGGTAATTTTGCTTCTCCTTTCAAAGATTTTTTTTATGAAAGAGAAGAACTAAGGAAACGTGGACTTAATAACCTTCAGGATCCTCTCTGAGTAGGTTTCCATCCCATATAAGCGTAAATAAGAATTGGATGCATTCAGTTAGGCAAGTATAAAGTTTGACTTTTACAAAAAGCACAAAAATAACCTTTTAAACAATCAAATTAATATACCTCCAAGATGATCCTCTTATGTATTTATATACTTATTTCAGTGACAATGTTATTACTATTATCATTTTTAGCACTCCTCTTTGGAAAATGCCTCTAGAGTTCTTAGTCCCATTCTGGAAGATTAGATTATCGTTCATCAGATATCACTCCATCTGCTAACTCCATGGGTGGCACTTCTTGATGCTGTGCATGGTCACGTGACTTGCTTTGGAGTGTGGTGAGATGACAACAGTGTAGCAGTTCCAAGCCTAGACCTTCATATCTGACCCCTGCCATGAGAAGATTATATGGCTGAATAGCTGCCACATCAGCATCTGGGAGCCGAATTCACAAATTGCAGAGCAATTCTAGGCAACCTGCAGACTTGCAGCTTGAAGCTGAGCCACCCAGTAGATATACAGACTCGTAAATGAGATATGACTACTTAATATTGTATGTCACTGTGATTTGGGGATTGATTGTTACTCAGCAATAACTGATGGTTACAAGCATGAATCCATTTAGTAATATTTTAGGAAATTTAAGTTATTGGAAATAGAGTTTGTGTTTGGGTTGGGTTGTATTATTTTGGGCAAAAATGGTGACTAATGTGGTAATATTATGTATATACTCATATACATGGTTTCTTGTAAACCTGAGGAATTTTGAAAATGTTTTAAGCATAGGTGTGAGAAGTTAGATTTCCAAAGTGATTATCTGGAGAGGGATAGCTTATATCTGTATATGTATGTCTAGGGATGTTTGATCAAAAAGCAGACACAGTACACAGACTTACTACTGTGTTTTCTTATATGTATTACCTCCTATTTAGATATCTTTTGATTATGGTTTCCTATCGTTTGTTGGTTTCACACTGATTTTCATTTTAATAGCCTCAGCCTAAAACTACTATTCTTATGTTTTTCTGAATGGTCTCTTTTTCTTTTGCACAATGAAAATGTCATCTGCATGTGTGAACATTTGCTATATCCTTTATTTGTCAAGGATTTTTGCTATTATGTTTGAAGAAAAGGCTTTCATTTTTCATTTCTGTTTAGAGACATCTTTTGAAGAGCAGAATGTGAAGCCAGCTTGATTTTAAAAGGTCATGCACAAAAGCAGGAAAGCTGATTGAGAAGAGTGTGGAAAGTATGATAATGAGAACATCTTTACAATGTTAAAGTGGGAAGGAAACTAGACAGTCTAACCCTCTCATTCTGGAGATGAGGAAAAGAAGTGTTTGCCCTGGATCACATTGCAAGGTAGTGGTCAAGCTCTGAGAAAACTGAGAACAAGGAGCATGAAATATAAGAAGAGAGAAAAAGTACTTCCCCTAGAAACAGACCCTCCAATGGGAATTTGAGAACAAGGAGTTTACTTGGGAGGAAATTGCAGAAAGCGCTTGTATGGGAGTTAAAGTGTAATCCCCAGACCAGTACAATAGGCTTCACCTGGGAGCTTGTTAGAAATGCAGAATCTCAGGGCCCAGCTAGACTTGCTGCATGAGAATCTGAGTTTCATTAAGATTCCCAGGTGAGTCATAAGTGCATTAAAGTTTGTGAAGAATGGCCTGAGTTATCCCTTTTAGTGTCATGGAAGCTGGGGTTTTTATTCTCTAACTCCCATCCTTCATTGACTAAAGGCTGCTTCCAGGAGCATTAACTCCCAGCATAAGTGAGAGCAGGCTCTTAGGTAGAACTTCATCCTAGTGGGAACTCGGGATGGAAGCCAGTATGATGAGTGCCAAAGGAATGCTGACAAGGCAGAGAGCCTTGATACTTACGTTATTCTGAACATTAGAGGCAGCTGGGAGCCTTTCCATTTTAGGAGATGAATCCCAGGCACAGTGTTTGGCAATTCAAAGTATTTCATACAGAGATGAACTTTATTAGCTATCAGACTCTATCTCAAATTTTGGTATAGGTTATGAAAGGTGTCAGGTCAATGTCTTCAAATTTAAATTTTTAAGCCTCGAAGTTTAAATACAGAGTTACTACGCAAACATTCCAGAATGGGCTTTCTTATATTTTGGTTGCCAACTTCTTGCCAGGGTCTCTTGCTCTTCTTTGTTTTATTATGTTTTTTTTCCCTTATTTTTTTTTAATTAAGTTTATTGGGGTAACATTGGTTAATACAATAATATAATTTTCAGGCGTACATTATAATTTGACGTATATATAGTCTATTGTGTGATTACCACCGAAAGTCCAGTTTCCTTCAGCTACCATATATTTGATCCCCTTTACCCACTTCGCCTTCTTCCTACCCACCCTGTATTTAACCCCCTTTACCCCGTCTACCTCTCCTCTCCTCCCCCACCCCCTACCCTCTGGTAACCACTAGTCCATTGTCTATGTCCCTGAATCTCTGTTTGTCCTGTTCATTTGTTGCTTTTAGGTTTATATCCCATATATAAGCGTTATCATGTGATTTTCTACTTTTTCAGTCTGGCTTATTTCACTTAGCATGATTATCTCGAGGTCCATCCATGTTGTCACAAATGGCAGTATTTCATCTCTTCTTATGACTGAGTAATAGTGCATTGTATGTATGTGCCACAGCTTCTTTAGCCAATCGTCTATCGTAGGACACTTCGGTTGCTTCCATGTCCTGGCCACCGTGAATAATGCTGCTATGAACATCAGTGTGCAAATATCTTTTTGGATATGGGTTTTCCAGTCTTTTGGGTAAATACCCAGTAGAGGGATTGCTGGATCATATGGTAGATCAATTCTTAGTTTTTTGAGGAACCTCCATATTGTTTTCCATCTTGCTCTCCTTTGTTCCTGGACTCTGCTCTCAAGATCACTCTGATCTTGGGGAATTGGACACTTGGCACTTGGAGCCTCAAGCCAACCTTTCTCCTCTTTCCCCCATGCTTCCAGTGGCACCAGCACGCAGACAACAAGTATTAGGTGTACAACCTAGGAGTCATCTAATGTGTATTGAGTGCAGCACTTTATTTTGTTTGAACAAAAGCCGTGTGTATAGAGTCTAATTTTTTCACTTCCCCAACTTTGCTTGGCCCCAACTTCATGCCAGGCACTGCTTAATAGAGTCCCCTGGCTGCCACCACCACTACTTGTCAATATGCTGAAGTACATTGATTGTTTTCAAATGTTGAACCAGACTTGCATCCCTAGAATAAACCCCTCTTGGTCATGGTATATAATCTTTTTTATATATTGCTGAATTCTATTTGCTAATATTTTGTTAAGGATTTTTACATCTTCATTTTTGAGAGACACTTCATTTTTGAGAGAAACTTTTGAAGGAAGTTTTCCTTCCTTCCTTCCTTCCTTCCTTCCTTCCTTCCTTCCTTCCTTCCTTCCTTCCTCCCTTCCTCCCTTCCTCTCTTCCTCTCTCCTTCCCTCCCTCCTTCCCTCCCTCCCTTCCTTCCTCCCTCCCTCCCTTCCTTTCTTCCTTCGTTTCTTTCTTCCCTCCCTACTTCTCTCCTTCCTTCCCTTCTTTCTTTCTTCTGTCTTTGTAAGTCTGGAACAAGACTTCATTTTCATGACCTTGCCAGTTTTGAAGGTTATAGGCTAGTTATTTTTGTGGAATGACCCTCGATTTGGGTTTGCCTGCTGTCTCTTCATAACTAGATTGAGTTCATGTGTCTTCGGCAGGAATGTCAAGTAGTGATGCTGTATTCTTTGTGCATCTTATCAGGTGGTGCACAAATTTAATCTGTCCATTTTTGATGATGTTCATCTTGGTCATTTGATAATATGGTGTCCCCAGGCTTTTCTCCTCAAAATTTCTTCTCTGTAATTAATAAGCATTTTGCGTGGCAGTACTTTGAAACTATGTAAATACCTTATTCCTCATTAAACTTTTGATTTATTTGTTAATTTATTTTTATCTCTATGGAGTCATATTTTATTCAATGGACTATTCTGTTATTATCATTATTCATTTTGATGCTCAAATTGTCCCCAGTTGGGTGAGAGAGAGCCCCCTCAAGCTGACTTGTGTGTTCTTTTGACATGTCTTTATCATTCTTTTGTAAATCCTCATTTTCCAGTGCAACCAGATGTTTCAGGCTCACCTTGTATTTTTTATTCTCCATCCTTGGAACCAAACATTCTAATCACCAGAACATATGAATGAATATTACCTTATATGGCAAAAAATATGATAAAGGGTCTGAGAAGAGCTTATCCCAGATTATCCAGGTGTACCCTAAACACAATCACATGGATCCTTATAGACATACAGAGGAGAAAACACACAAGAGATTGGAGGGATGTGGTCACAGGCTAAGGAACACATGGAACCACTAGAAGGTGGAAGAGATCAGGGAAGGGGTCTCCCCCAGAGGCTCTGGATGGGATGTGTCCCTCCCCACACCTTGATTTCACACTTCAGGCCTCTAGAACTGTGAGAAAATAAATATCTGTTGTTTTAAGCCACCTAGTTTGTAGTAATTTGTTAACTCAGCCCTGGGAATCTAATACACTATCTATAAAACCACAAGTTCAGACCGATGCATCGATCCCCATCCACTACTGCAGGGTTCATTCTGATTCTCCTTCACCATATTTCTAACTCCATTTTCTGACAGAAGCCTGGCTTACATCGTGCTTAATAGATTGCCTTATTTAATCAGTCCCCCTGTCTGTACCCAATCTTCTACCTCCTCGGCACCCTTGCACCTAAGGGGCACCCCCCTCACAGGCTCAAGCTTTGGCACTCAGCAGGGCTGGGTCCTGGGGCCCACCTCCCCACTCAGTGGTGCCTCCCGCTGGGGCACTCCCACATACACACACCTTGCTTCACCTCCACTAATGGTCTTAGGCCTGCATGGCTCAAAAAGACAAGGGGAGGGAAGGGCAAGGGGGAGAGGAACAGCGAGGCCCTGCCTGGTTGTATGCTCCTCTCGTCTCCCCTTCCTGAGTGCCCTGATGCCCACCACACTGCCTTGCCCACCCTGGGAGATGTGTGTGCTCACTCAAGGCAGTGCTGGACTTGGCTGTGACCCTGCAGCGAAGCCAAGCATGTGGCTTACATGAGGGAAAGCCACAGGCCTAACGTGGGCGAGCAGCAAGAGCAGGTACCCACTGAGCAGGGTCACACCCCAGTAGGCCTTTTCACACACATGGAGTCCTCAGCCAGGGCATAGTTCCCGGGAGGGCTGTTGGGAGGCTAAAACCAACTTGGGGAATAGATTATGGGGGAAAAGGTAGAAGAAGCAAAGTTGGGAGACCATCGCAGATCATTATATGTGTCCCTGTACTGTGTCCTTAAAAGAACACCAAGGTCTGGGAAGCAAGGGATGGAAGTAGAAATGAACCCACTTATTATCATTTCTGGTGACCCACTTTGGAAATGTGTGATTACAGTTTTCGCAACTTCAGTTTTTGTGAATCTAGAGCTCCCGATGCCCAAAGAGAGAACACCCGCTGGGGGTCCAGCAAGAGTCCCAGTCAGTTCAGGCTCCTTGGGCCATGAGACCAGCAGAAAAGAAAGGTGTCACCATCCTGGCAAGGGTAACTGACCCTGAACTCCAGGAGGAGGTTGCTCTTCTGAGAAAAGGCAAAAATACTTTGGCATGCCATGATTCTTGGGTCATCTCTTCATTCTCCCTTGCCCAATTTTGGCGATAAAAGACCTATGCAGCAGCCATGGCCTGGAAATGGCAAGGTGATCAGGGATAAACCAGATCCTTCAGGGATGAGGGTCTGGTTTACTCAGTAACCAGTAGCGATGCCAGCCAAGGGTAATCTGGAATAGGTAGTTGAGGAAGGTGATTATTAGTATCAGTCACAGTTCTGAAACCAGTTGCAGAAGTGAGAGCTATAGTTTGTCCCACTTAGCTTCCTCCTATAAATTTTCTCTAGGGAGGGAAAG